ACTGAGTGAGTAAATACTTGACCAGACAATTTTCCTCTAAGAGCCTTGGTTTCCAAGGTAATTGTGTGTGTGTGTGTGTGTGTGTATACACAGACAAAATTCAAGGCACACAAGTTGCACAATAAACAAACATACAAAACAAGACACATGCAAAGCAAGACACACACATAAACAACACAAGACTCAAGTCACACACACAAGACGCAAATAAAACACACACACAAGACGCAAGTCACACACACAAGACGCAAATAAAACACACACACAAGACGCAAGTCACACACACAAGACGCAAATAAAACACACACACAAGACGCAAGTCACACACACAAGACGCAAATAAAACACACACACAAGACGCAAGTCACACACAATATAAGAGTATGAAATCCAATCTGCATAAATGAAGTAGACAGAAACACAGATTGTGTGAAGCATAAGAAAGATAGCCATTGTGATCAGGAGACAAAAATTCTTTACTGCCAAAAACTCTTTATCCCAGAAAGTGCTTAGACATTTCCTCTCTAAACTGAATCATTAAAAATAAGTTGATCTGCCTGTTTTTAACCTAAATAACTAAAAATCCACACAGCTAATTTTCCCCTCAGAAACAATTTAGGCAAATTAGTTTATTAACAATAACCTTTTGCTCAAACTCATTTCACGAATTTTTCCAGATTAACATCTCTCTCCTCAATAACAGGGTTTCTCTTAACGTTTTCACTCATGTCCCCTTTTATACAAATATTTTTCATGAGCTGCCACACTGTCATAAAAAGTACCAGGCACTAAAACTATACAAAAAATTCTCAAACAAAAATATTTTTAATATAGAAAACAAAAAGTTACTTGATGAAAACATTAAAATAATCAATAGATTTGTAACATTTCACTATAGTTTCAAATTTTTATTTGACCCCCAACAACCATTAAATCATCCCTCCAACATTTCAACCCTTATTTTGAGATTCACTGCAGTAGAACACAATAGTTAAAATGAACAGGCTTGTTAAGTTTTAAGTGCTTCAGGGTTTTTTCTTTAACTTCTGACATATTTAAATAAACTAAGAATGTTTGAATATAAATAGCACATCAATATCTATTTGGGTCATCCTTTGCACTGCTTCAAAAGACAAAAGCAAGAAATTGGTATTTGTAAATTGGATTATATTCTTGTCTGTGTACAGAAAAAATAAATTATGAGGAAACGTCTACAGGTATAGCTGAAGATACCAAAAATTCATGAGTGTGTTCATTATTGACAAAAAGCCTGTCTATATAGAAAAGAAGAAAACCAAATATTTTTTTTTTTTTTTTTTCTTGTCACACACTCCTCAAACTGCAAGAAAGGACAATATAATTTTAAACAATTTCAAAAATGATATGTTTATTACTTACAAGTTTTACCATATATGGGTGGCTTAATCTTAATGTTTTGTCCTCTGATGGACTTTATCAAACCAAATGTAAAGATTTTATTTTGACATGTATTATTAATAAAAGTAAAAGTATCTTTAGGTTTCAAAAATTTTTAAATTTAAGAATGCTCAAAAATATTATTCCGGCTAACTGTGTAAGTCAAGGTAAACTATGGAGGATGCTAAGTGATATAATTTAATGCCTAATAAACTATGGAGGATGCTAAGTGATATAATTTAATGCCTAATAAACTATGGAGGATGCTAAGTGATATAATTTAATGCCTAATAAACTATGGAGGATGCTAAGTGATATAATTTAATGCCTAATAAACTATGGAGGATGCTAAGTGATATAATTTAATGCCTAATAAACAAATGTTTTTATTGTTGTTGATTTTTTTTGTATTATTTTATTTTAGTTTGAAAATAATAGGTTTTGATTTAATTTGAAAAATTTTTATTATCATGTAGATTTGCTTGGGAAAGAAGTAAATCTTTTAGAAAAGGAGACATTTGAAAACACACACACACTTCCTAGCATTATACCACAGAAAAGGACCAAGTCCAGAGTACTACTTCAGTTTCACATTACCATAATCTTCAGTTGACAAGCACTTATTCAGTCTTTTGGTCCTTTTTTTTTTTTTTTTCCCCTTAATTTATGTTTAAGTTTTTCCTCAGTTTACTTATATCATGTTTTTTTTCCCTTGGTTTTTGGTTTATCCATTGTTGGTTTTTCTTTTTACTGAGTTTCCTTTTGGTCACCTGGCAGGTTGTTAATAATATTATCAAACCACCTGACAAGTGGATGTGAAACACTGGGTAGGGACAGATAAGTGAACACTTCATTTGTTGTTATTAATACCCTATCTCTTGATATTGAGCACTTTAATTACAAAGACTGCTAGCCTTCCTTCAAGAATTTTTTTTTTTTACAAAACATTTTTTGTTTAAAAAAAAATTATTGCTTGGTGCTATGCCCCACCCCCATTTTTCTAATGGCTTCCTCTTGCGACCCCACTTTTCCTAACCACTGTGGGAATCCAAGGTATACAATAATAATAATATCCACCTTCATTAATCCAGGACTTTTGTATAATTAAGATATTGAGATAAATTGGCTCAGTAAGCATGAGAAAGAATTTAAACTTACAATGAAGAAGAAGAAATGATGATGATGATGATGATAATACAATAAAGATCCCTTCTTAATCCACTTTCTAAACCCTAATCAAACATCACAAACTTTTTTTTTTTTTTTTTTTTGAATCCCTTCTTATCTGTGACAAGAACTTTTTTGCCTGTCCTAATAAGCACACCTGACCAGGGAGCACATGGTTGAGTAGTTAAAACATTCACTTTCTAACGATGAGACTTAAGCTTGAATCTCATCAGGGTTGATTTAATTAACTTCTTGATGTTATCAAACTGAGAAGGCAATCCCAACATGCAGCAACTTTAGAAAGTGCTTGAAAACTATAACACGGGTTAACCCAGGCTCTGTGAGTGAAATTGGGTAAATGAAACTGTCAGCCGTCGATAGTAGTGCTAGCATGCAGTCACAAATCATTATGACCAAGGGTTTGAATGTACTGGCCTTGTTGATCTCACCAGATAATGCGTTCGCTCCCAGAAAGGTCCACTCAGCATAGTTGCGGTATAAATCACAGGTGGACTCTCTGAGTGTTGAACAAGCACAGATGTGCCTGAGCAGGCATCTGCAACAGTATCATCCTAGTAGACAGGTATACTCAGATACAAGTGGCCAACCACACTTTCTCTTTCAATCATATCACACACTTTGTTCATCATTATCATTTTAACAGTGACCCTCCAGTTTGAGTGGCTCTCGAGCCATGTATTGAGTGAATCTTAGAATAAAGAAAAAGCTTTCAAAGCACAGTTTAGAGTAAATATTTAATGTGAAGGGATCAAAAATGCCATTTTGTTTCTACTTCAAATGAGTGACTTAGACTTATCAACTCTTTGCCAATTGTGACATGCTAGGGACAAGAATGAGACAGTTGGATTCATGCCTTTACAAAGAGCAGGAATATGAAAGTAGTCAGTTAAAATCTGAATTGAATTTACAAAATTCTATTTTCTTAGCTGATAATGATTCTTCGTTTTGAATTTTGATGTCATATGATATTTTTAGATAAAGTATGTGAACTTTTAATATTAACAAAGAAATAACCTACCCAGGAAACCTTTTTCTCTTCAGAACTTTTTAGTCTAAGAAATCAGCACTGCCATGTCATCACTCCATAGCTATGGATCCCAGTCTATCTCAGAATGCTAGATGGCCACTGACTTTACAAGAAGGTTCATCCACCCTTTGACAGGTTTTGTTTTCAATACTTCTAGCTGTTTAGCCACTCTCTTTACCTGAGAAACCTGGTGGGGGAAACAGTTTAGATGCCAATGACCCAACCATATAGCAGATAATACTGGGTTACACGGTAGCACTTGTAGAGTGACCTTACATACTTTTTTTTATACTCTTGTTCAGTCAATACATGGTGTAAGAGCCACTCAAGATAGTGAGTTACTGAATGACTCCATTCAAAGTAGATAACAGTTGATTCAAGATTTGAAGAAATTAAGATTATTATGATCAGAAACGCATACTCTTGAGAGTCTGTTCCACAAAGTAGTTGTTCTTGGGAAGAAGAATGGAACTTCTCTCTTACTAATGGAATATGAATGGGAGGATTCATCTTAATGTACATGATATGGCAGGTCCTAATTGTAAAGGTCTGAACTGGTGGAATTAAGGAATGCAGCTTGTCAGAGGATTCACCATGTAAATAGTGATAGAGTAGAAATAGATGAGTGTCATTTCATATGTGGGGAAAGAGTTGTAGGGTGAAAAATAATTTGGACACTTTTGAACTCTGTCAAGACAGGAAGGTAAGGACTGAGCAACTCTAGCTCAGGTAATTTTTTTTAAAAATCATTTCAAGGCAGTAAAACCACTAAGACACAAGGGGTTACTGAGTGTGAAAGAATAAGAAAAAAAAGAGAAACATTAAGAAGTGAGAACAATAGAAGAGTAATCAAGAGGTCATTAGATAACAATAGGTAGGCATGACACCAATACTCCCTTTTTAGCTTGATCTGACTCTTATAAAGAATAGAACATGACCAAGAATATCTTCATAAATATAGACAAATTTATTCTTTCTAGATCTTAGCATACATTATAAATGATTTTATAATAACACTATTAGAAAATCTTTGTTCTTAAGCAAAGTCTTATTAAAAAAAAAAAAAACTATTTTCTTTATAAATACACTGATGCAAATAAAAACAAATTTTATTGCTATGGGCATAAAAACAATTCATAAAAGTCACTCAAATACTGGGCAACACCAGATTACATTGCTGGTAATTAATAATAATGACTTGCTCAACATAAAATTATGCATGTCTAGTGTGGATAATATCCCTAACAAGTTCAACAGCAATAATAAGCTTCGCTATTTAAAAAGGTTAATTCAATATTCAACTACATTGATATGTAAGATTATGCAAATAGATGTAATTATATTATGTTCTTATGGTTCCCTTGAGAACAGCAAGTCCGATGAGGAAAGAAATGAATGATAAAGAGAGGAAAGAGAGTCTGAAAAAAAAAAAAAAAAAAAGAAAGAAAAAGAAACTTACATTTTTATCCACATGCAATAGGACTGATAATCAAAACACAAGCAGTAAGTAAAATTAACTATTACTTAATGATGCATTGCGTTAGGTACTAAATACCAAATAAGGTTTTTAATGAAAGTTTATTGTAAGTCTCTTGCTTGTTCTTGTTAATCTCACAATCATAAAACCCGTAACCTTCCAAGGCTATTTACCGATACTAAGGGGAGAAGAGATGGATTCATACCTTTCCCAAATGTATTAGTACACAAGTGAATGTAATGAACTCAACTGGAATTTCAATCTGAGTCATTATCCATTATCTGCTAATCTACAAAGGATATAAAAAGAAAATGTATAGCAGTCAGCAAGACAAGTAAGAGAGATAACTTGTCCTTCAAACAGCTTTTGCCTGTCTCAGTTTCTGGAATGAGGTGTTATTATTTACACTATTTACATTTGGACTATTGTCCTCAACTTTGGCCGTTGTGTCCTCTGGTGTCATCAGGTGTCTGTTGATCCAGGTAACCTACAAGGAATTACTTTTATTTAATCTGGGGGGTGTTAAACTGATCTCATGTCTAGGGATATCTTGTTCTACTGCTCAGGTATTGCTTGCCTTGTACAGGGATTGAACTCACAATTACTATGTCACCAAATTCATTTATGAAGAGGAGGAATAGTTTATTCTACTGTAGGTGGGTTACTATAACAGAAATACACCAGCATCAACTAAAATTAATTTTGTTTTTCTTTTATGCTACTAATTACTATTTGATACTACTAATTACTATTAAACAATGGACATGACTTGTTTCCAGAAAATAATTCACATAGTTAAAAACTGACAATAACAAAGACAATGTGAAAAAAGATTTTGACAGATGGAAGGGAAAACATAAAAAGGTCTTGACAGACCAAAGGGGGAGGGGGAGATCATGACAGACCAAAGAGGGAGATCATGACAGACCAAAGAGGGAGGTCATGACAGACCAAAGAGGGAGGTCATGACAGACCAAAGAGGGAGGTCATGACAGACCAAAGAGGGAGGTCATGACAGACCAAAGAGGGTGGAAAAAGGTCTTAACAGACCAAAGGGGAAAATAGAAAAAGGATGTATTAACAGATGAAATAAAAAGAAAAAAAAAAGCTTTACAAACCAATGGCCAGAGGTGGGGAGGTCTTGACAAAGCAAAGGAGAAAAATAGCTTTGATAGACCAAAGGCGGGGGGGCGGGGCGGTTGTATAAAAAAGTTGATAGATGAAATAAAAAGATCTAAACAAAAGAAAAAAATTCTTGACAGACCAAATGGAAAAAATGGTCTCAATAGACCAAAGAGTGAAAAAAAAAAAAAAAAAAAAAAAGGTCTTGACTGACAAAAAGTGGGTATAAAAAAATGTTGACAGATGAAATAAAAAGATCTAAACAGAAAAAGAAAAGATCTTAACAGATGTTTGACTGCAGCACTAACCAATAAGCTCAAGTGAATAAATGTACTAATAGTAATAGAACATAACATGAAAAAAAATACAATTTTTGTCCTGAAGACAAAGGAAATATCTATTATACATTATTAGGAAAAAAAAAAAAAAAAAAAAAAAAATGAAACAAATTATTAGTGTAATCCTATAATCACAAAGTTTTTAAAAATCATGCCTGTTAGGTTATCTAATATATATATAAAAAAAATAGTTTTAGTCTTGTAAAATGTGTCACAAGGAGGGGAGAGGTTCTTCTCATTCCCGAATGAAGGACAGATGTGTTTATTTTTGCCTCTATAGCCCAAACTTCTTACAGACAGCAGACAGATAATATCTTGTAGAAGATCTTAACATAACTAATGAGGTAGCAGGTTACAACGAACTTGTAACTAAATACTTCAAAGCAAAAGCAACGGGGTTAAGGGTATGGCTTATCCAGTTATAACATCAGCTTTTACATGACAGTAGGAAAAGTCAACCGAACAAACAAATGCTACAAAAAAGTGAAACTGCTATGGATTCAAATCTTACCCCTCATTACAATATCCTCCCTTCTGCAACTGAGTAGGGCATTATACAACTTTATAAATTCTTTTTTTTTTTAAATATTTAACAGCTATATATTATAATACAAAATTTCTGGTTTTAGAGGTGTGGGACATTTCACTCTAAGCAAGGTGATAAATCCACTAAGACACAAAGGGTTACCAAGTGTGAAAGAATGTGAAAAAGAAAAACATTAAGAGAACATATAAAAGTTATAGTTTGTTTAATGGCATATAAGCTCATGGGTCACTTAATGCCAAAATTTAATTTTCTTGTGAGCTTGGACGTAATATTATATATGTTATTCTGTTTTCACAATTGAATACAAAAATATACTGCTAGTATTTTTTTCCTAAAAGTCTATTTCTGGTAACTATTATTTTACTCTGAAAACATATTGCTGGAATTTTATTATAAAAATGTATTTTTATACCTTGATAATATTCCAATGACAACAAAAGAACAGAATTAAAACATTTCTTTAAGAAATTCTAGGATAGTATATAGATTAATGTTCTGAAAGTGTCCTTTCATGTTGGTTGATGTGTTGTTGGTAATCTAACTATAAATAGGTATTGTTAGTAATTTCTTTTATATAAAAATGTATTAGTGGTACTTTCACCATAAAAATCTATTTTTATGCTTTCATAGTGTTTTGACTTCAGTTTAGAAAAAAAAAAAAAAAAAAATTAACTATTTGCTTATAGCTGGGACCCCTAACAGGTGCTATCCAGGTTAGGGTGGACCTGAGAACAGCAACAATTAACAGGTGATTCCATGCTCCTCAAAACCTCACAATCTGGGGCCTTGCTGCCGGATGTAGTTTATCATCATACCCAGTACGCAATCAAGAATCTCTAAATATATAGAAGAAACACCAAACCAGATGTGTTAGCAATATTCAATGCATGGACAAATAGTAGACTTATACATATGTAAGATAGATTCTGGAGAGAAAATTTATCTAGCATGACACAGTGAACCAACTATCGGATAAAATCCCCCCCCCTCTATTTACTTTTCCATCCAATTAGAAAATTAAGCAAAATATTTACGTGTATGCATATATATATATATATATATATATATATATATATATATATATATAACAACGTTACATATATATGCATACACACATTTGCATATACATCAACATTACGAAAGTAATTTATCCAAAGTTCTTCCACATCCACTTAAACAGACTGTTGTTGTTCTCATTTCCATAGCAAGTTGGCTTTTACAGGGAGGAGTTACCAATCCCATGTTCAGTTTTGAATTCAGAGTTGTCCTTCTCTTAGAAGGATTACCAACCAAGGCTAGAGAGCCTAGTCTGCCCTATTATTTAACCCATAGCTGAGAGGAGAAGAGGATTTAAACCTTTCCCAAGAGTATTTGTGTGAAGTGAATGCAGTGACCTCAGCTGAAATTTGAACTCGGCATACAGATTCCAATTTCAACTCCAATCAATGCTTCATCAAATGAAGGTTCTTAAAATGTTTAAAATTGCTCTTCATGTACAAAAATGTCTAGAAATACTCTTAAGTTTTTTTTATTTTAAAGAAACATGCTTAAAGAAAAAAAAAAAAAAAAGAGTAATTCCCCAAGCATTAACATAATTGACTAGTCCCTGACAAAAAGGGTTATTCAGTGGTGACAACAGTTTTTCTTTCAGTTACTACTGCTTGGGCATTGTAGGATTTAAGAGAGAGGTGGCATGCCAGTGACAAGATTTTTTTTCCTTATTTGGGGATGGTGGAAAGCATAATACAAATTCATATTGTTGATTAAATTTGAACTTGGTTTCTTGATATTGCTTTTTGTATTGATTGATTGATTTGCTTTTTTTATGGATTATCAGCCTTTTGCAGGTTAATTTAAAGCTAGAAAATATTTTTAGATTGTAAGAATTTTTTGTAGATAATGATTTTACGGATACAAATCTTACTAATTAATCCATACCCATGGAAAAGAGGTGGATTAATACCTTTCCCAAGGTTATTTGCACATAAGTGAATATAACAAACCCAACAGGAATTGGAACTCAGCTCTCAGATTTCCAACTCGGAGCCATTATCGATGACACCACCTGCACATTCAAGCTTATAGTACCTGGTATTCACAAGTGGTCACCCATCTAGGTACTAACCAGGTTTGATGTTGCTTAACTCTAGTGATTGTACAACAAACAGTATTTCAATGGGATATGGCTGTAAACCTGATAATTTTGGAAATAATCAATATTTGATAAAAAAGCCAATTTATTTTTCTTAATATGATTCTAAAGTCAGTGTCAGTCGTTCATGATAAAAATTAGTTTAAATATTTTAGTAGTTGTCATGTTTCATGTGTTCTTTTCTTGTTAAATAATGAAATAGAACAAAAGTGTTCAGGGTTTTCATATTTATAAAATCAGTCATACCCAACGATAAATATTTTAAGTAGCACTGAAGAAAACTTGAATAGTTTTTTTATTTTTCTTTATTTTTAGTTATAGAAAGCCAGACAACACTTCCACAAGTAAAATTAAGAGAAAAAAAAAAAACAGAACTCTTACACTAAGCAAATAGTATTGGAAATACATGTTCTGTTTACTTTTGAAACAACACATTGCTGGAACCTCTTACCTAAAGGCAAACAAAGCATTTATTGTCTGAGATATCGTCTTCATGTCTGGTGAGGAGAGAAGAAAAGAAAAATGATTTTAGAGACCTCCGGCAGCTTTTGTCTGACACGTGTAACACGTAAAGGGAGACAACTCTTAAAAAACATTTACTGGCTAAAGGGAGAAAAACAATACAAGCTTTAACCAAAGGGAAGATTGAAAAATGATCGGCCTGACACACTTCCCTTAATCTGACCAAATAGAATTTTATTTATTTATTATTTTCTTAAATTTCTGCATAGTTGGGCCAGTACTTTTCAGCATTGGAGGAAGAAAGCATTTAGACAAAGAGATAGACACAAACAAAATTGAAAATACCAAAGTTCTGTCTTTTTGTTCATTTTCTTGCTTAATCTCTGACGAAGCTTTAATAAAAGTGAAACATGCTTCATTAACATTTCCTATTTGTTCTTTATCTTTGTATATGTATATATATATATATATATATATATATATATATATATATATATATATATATATATACACACACATATATATATATATATAAATAAACAAAAACGGAAAGTAAAATGTTGTTTCAAGCAAAACATTTAGTTATCCAAATAAAAAGTGCTCAATGTCCTTTAAAATATAGAAAATACAGAGCAATTTAATTTTTTTTTTTTTTTTTAAATGTAGTCAATAAAAAATTTAAACCTTCTTCATACCATGATTTCACCTGTGGATCACAAAGTCCAAAAAAGTCAGAACTTTTTCTCCGTCTCTATTTGCTATAACATGATGTCCTATCCTGGTTCAAAACTTGCCAGAAGAAATTTTTTTACATTCATGCATGGCATCATTAATTACAATCTACACACACACACAAGACATATCTAAGATCTTATAATTATGGACAAGTGCGCTTATTAAAGGAAAAATGAAAATTACTGCATTGATGCATATTCTCTTTATTCAGAGTACTTTTGACATTAGCACAATGTCATCATCAGGGTCTTGTTCTTTCTAAGATGAAAAAAGTGTTGTGGCATCATTTTTCTAAGATAAAACTTTTGCGTTCATCTGAAAATTAAATATTTACGTATGAAGTGAAAAACACTGAGTTTATGTACTATTTCATTCTTCCTTCAATAAGGATACTAAAAAACTTGTCCATAATTATGAGAAAATCTTATTAAAAATAAGTAAACAAAACATGTCTAAATTATTTAATGAGACATGTCTTCATGCTGTATATATTATCATGCCGTATATATATATATATATATATATATATATATGTATATATATATATATATATATATATATATATATATATATATATATATATATATATATATATATATATATATATATATATATATATATATATATATATATATATATATATATATATATATATATATATATATATATATATATATATATATATATATATATATATATATATATATATATATATATATATATATATATATATATATATATGTGTATATATATATATATATATATATATGTGTATATATATATATATATATATATGTGTATATATATATATATATATGTATATATATATATATATATATATATATATATATATATATATATATATATATATATATATATATATATATATATATATATATATATATATATATATATATATATATATATATATATATATATATATATATATATATATATATATATATATATATATATATATATATATATAAAAGAACTTCAAGTTTCATGTGCATAGCAATCATGAGACCTAAAAACTTTTTACTTCAGTTCTGATGACTGCCATGTGCATAAAACTAAGTATCCTGGTAAAGTGGTAAAGAACAACTTTAAAATTCTTTAATATATATTTTAGCTCTGTTACTTAACAGTGAGCAGTGTTTTTTTGTTTATTTTTTTATTACCAGCACTCACTGTGTACTCTTTTATGTGTGTATATAAAACCAAACTTGAATAAATTAAATATTGCTTCCCAAATACAGCAGACACATGTATATAAGAAATGTATGAGAAAGTGGGAAAGTTTTCATGTGATGTATTTTGTACTTTGATTTCATCAAACTAAACTTTACATATTGTTATTTCATAAAAAAAAGTAATTTTTATTTATATATATATATATATATTCCATAGGAGTAAAAATATAAGAAAAAGAAGATGAAAGTGCGTGTGTGTGTGTGTGTGTGTGTGTGTAGTAATAAATCAAAAAGTTCAAAATTACCTTATATGGAGTATAAACCTATTTCAACTGACAGAAACTTTGTCAGTCTTATTCAACCCCAGTGTATAGACTGAGTTCATGTCTGAATTAGAAAATTAATTGTAACAGTGTTTGAAAAATTGATACAGAATTTATCCATTTCAATGTTACAAAGGAAAGGCACAAGCCAGTGCTGATAAGGTTAAGTTTAAAAAAAATACATATTCCTTCTTAAAAACACTCTTCCTTTGATTCAATAGTTTGCTTTGATTATTACATTTTATTATTCTAATTTTTTCTTGTAAATATAAGCTACACCTATCTCTATGACTATTAGGAGTATGTATGGAACATATAATCTTCCAATCTATCTGTGGGTTCAGACCTTTCCTTTAATTCCCCAAATTCTTTTTTTGAAAGAGCTGTCTGGTGTTTTAATGTAGGGTTGGTAAAAGAGTGCCTATTGGTATAAAATCTATGTTTCCATTCCCCAGTGGAAATTCCAATGTAAACATAATAATTTTCCATATTTTCTTTGGGGGAAATAGTTGCTTGGTATATAACCCTAGTAGGTCTGCATTTCCCCTCAGCTGGACAACTTTCTTTCAATTACAGGAGGGTTCAATACTAGGTTTGTTGTTCATCCCATAGAAATTACTTAAAATGTAGTTATGAAAGTTGATAATTTTATATGTTTTTTTATATATATATATATATATATATATATATATATATATATATATATATATATATATATATATATAATAATTATACATTTACACATTTATTATGACTTTCATGGCTTTGCCAATCATTTGATAGAAAAAGTTAACTTTTTTGTGCCTGATGATTGACAAAGCTACGAAACGTAGGCATATGTGTAATTACATAAATTAATTGATTTAATTATATATATATATATTATAAAGTAATTGATTTAATATATATCTTACTGTTCTTTCTTTTATATATATATATATATATATATATATATATATATATATATATATATATATATATGTGTGTGTGTGTGTGCGTCTATTTCGGCAGCATGTTTTCATTAAGGAATGTTTTGGTGAATAATTTAGACATGTTCTGTCTACTTATTTTCAATAAAATCCTTTCATACTTGTGGATAAGCTTTTTGGTGTCATTATTGAAGGATGAGGAAAAACAAAATCACCATGTTGATACATATTTCTTTTATTTCCAAGTACTTTCAACATATCAATGTCATCATCAGGCTATTGTTTATTACAAAATAAATATTGTAGCATTCATTATTGTCAAAGACAAATTGTTGTGTTATCTGAAAGTTAAATTACTTACAAATGGAATTACAAACTCTCCAAACCATACTTAGTTACCTCCCTTTAAATGGTTTCAGCGGTCACACACTGATGCAGTGTTCCTTACTGTAGCACACACATACACGGTTGCTAATATCTAGTTATTTGATTTACCCTCCTATAAATAAATATATATATATATATATATATATATATATATATATATATAAAATTTGCAAAAAGATGATAGGCTAAAATGGTTAAAAGCTGTTACAAAAGTATAATAAACAAAATTAAATATAAAACAGGAAATGATTTTTAAAAATTCAATGTGAAATTAACTAAAAAAATGCTACAAACCTGTAAATGAAATCAACTTGAAGTGAGTTAAAATATAAAAATAAAGTATATTTCAATTGCTAAGTGGCTAAGTTGCATGGGGGAATGGGAGTGTTACACAATGTTATCTTATCTGCAAATATGACTTACATCACAGAAAGATGACAACAGTACTTAAGATAGCAAGCTGGAATTCAAGGAGGTAAAACAAAAACTGCTTTGTTAGTGTTACATCTGGGAGTACTTGTCACTGTGGATGGTCTACAAATTTGTAAAGGACTATCAGATAATGTTTGTAATAAGTATTACAAATACAGAGACAGGAAAGAAATAAAATGTGTGCGAGAGACGGGTCTCTTTGTCAAGGATGAAAATGGGTGTACCAACTAATTAATGTTATTACTGCATCAGGAAATCAGGTGATTTTTGGATGAGCCAATGTATGGAAATTATTCTATATAGAAATTATTTTTTTTAAATTAGTAAGTTCGTTAGGTGCACAAGTAAAGGAGGATTCATATTCAATGTGAAATTGAACAGAAAGAATTTGTTTATTTATAAAAAATTGATATGAAAGAAAAGAAATGTAAAGGGTTGTTCAAAATAATTTTGAGTGTCTTATAAAAATTAAACGTGGGGAAAGGAAAGATGTTTGTGAAAGTAGGATTTACACAGTTGATAAAAGTTAAAAAATATCCTTTGCTAAGGAGATACAGAAAAAATTCACATCTAGTCATATATATATATATATTCACATCTTGTCATATATATATATATATATATATATTCATATATCATATATATATATATATATATATATTCACATCTTGTCATATATATATATATATATATATATATATATATTATCATATATATATATATATATATATATTCACATCTTGTCATATATATATATATATATATTCACATCTTGTCATATATATATATATATATATATATATATATATATATATATATATATATATTCACATCTTGTCATATATATATATATATATATATATATATATATCTTGTCATATATATATATATATATATATACACACACAGATATGTATACAATCTTCCACATACATACATGCATGCACATACAGGCCTATACATGCATGTATACATACATACCTATAATACACATCCTATACACACATGTGAATGCATGCACATTCCTTCTGGCA